CCCCCCCCCCCCCCCCCCCCGGAGCCAAAAAAGTGTGGGGCTTTGGGAGCCATGGGCAGCGCTGCGGCCTCGGCCTCTCGGAGATTTGGGGGCAGCAGCCGCAGCCTCGGAGTCTCCCGAGGCGTCAGAACCCCAAGACCTCCGGCCCTGTAGGGTGCAGAGGAGTTTTGGGTTTAGGGGTCTAGGGGTTTACAGTTTAGGGTTTAGGGGTCTAAGGGCTTAGAGTTTAGGGATTTTAGGGTTTATGGGATTTGGGGTTAGGGTTTGGGGTTTTGGGTGGTTTCGGGAAGAGCCTGGGAACGCTTTGCTTTTTTTTGTCAGCTCGCTCTGAAGTCAAAGAAGGGCCGCACATTAAGAGCAAAAGCTGAATGCACCTTTAGGGGTTTAGGGTTTAAGGGTTTCGGGTTTAAGGGTTTACGGTTTAGGGTTTAAGGGCACCTTCAGCTTTGGATCGGGCTTGGGCTCTCTGAAGCTATTCCCTCGGGCCTGGGAGCTGCAAACTCCGAACCCCCATTGCCCAAAGGCCGCGGCTAACCTCCTTACCCGAAAGCCTACTGGTTCTTGATTGTGCTCGCTTACATATTCTGTCTGTTTGTTTGTCCATGGGGTCCTACAAACCTAAAGCCTCAGCTCTAAGCTCTGACATTCGAAATCCGTTCTTCGTGGCCACTTAGGTGTCGTGAAGGGCTCCAGAATATGCGACGACCTCGAGTTGCAGGCTGGGTTTGGATACTACCTGTAGTCTCCATCGTAATCCTTTTTTTCGGTTTAGCCAGTTTTATATTTAATATAAAGGTAACCCCAATAAACGAACTACAATGGAGACTATAGGTAAGTCCAGGCGAGGTTGAGGGCTTAGGATTCAGGACGGTTGGTCACACTCACGGCTCGAGATACGTTTATGGAGGTCATGGTAGCTCTCTGCATGTGTGTATATATAAAAACACATACACACACACACATGCTTTTTTGCATCGTACTTGTGATCATCCGGGGTTTCGGCTGCGGTTACCGATTTTGGAGGCCCTGGTTCAAGTTTAGTGGGTGGACCTCCTGTTCTTCGGGCGCACAAGCCCTGAGTTTCGGCGGCCTTGCAGGGTGGTCCTGTTTAGGGTTTAGGGTAGGGGTTAAGTTAAAAGGGCGTTGAGATGGCCCCAGAGTTCGAGGAAGTGGTCCGCAGGCTCGAGTTGGGTCGGAAGTTTCGAGCTGCTCCGGCTTACTGGCTCGATCAAAATCGCGGGTGCTAATGTACTAGAATGTACTGTAATTTACAATAGTATGCTATAATATACTATAAAATACTATAATATACTATAGTATACTATGATATACAAAATCGAAGGTACTAAGGACGTCCCAGCTGCCGACACCGCTGCTGCCACTGATGCTCGGGTCGTAGTCTGGCAGAGATCACCACGCCTGCGTTTCTTAGGGACCGGATAGATGGCTGAGGGCCCCACGGAGAACCTCAAGAATCAAGGCTGTTGAGCGCAGGCCTGTCAGAAGGATTAGGTGACTTTGTGGGCAAATCCTAGATTGCATCAAGTACCAAAGTTAAGTACCGTGTCTAGCGGAATTACAGCACACATCACCACTCAAGAATTGAGCTGCGAATCTTTGAGACCCTAGGGAGTAAGCAGGCGATGGCTTGTCCTACTGTGAACGCCGAAACCCGAACCCCTGAACCACAAACTTTAAACCCTAAACCCTAAACCCTAAGCTCAAGAAGCAGGAGCTGCTTCTGGGCTGGGAGCGAATCGGGCTCACTCTGACGCTCGGTGTGTGGGAAAGTTCTCTCGCAATACAACTGCCCTGAGCCATTTGGGGTTTCGGGTTTCGGGAGTCCCTGTTCCTTATAGGGCTCCTCGTTTAAATTCTGTCCTAAGTGTTAAGGGCCCTGCAACTTTTGCATTGTATGTTCCTAGGTCCGACCGTCGCACGGCCGTGTCCCTAAACCCTAATCCCAATGCGAGAGTGAGAGTCGAAATTCCCGGGATTTGACTTGGACCGGAGAGGCCTTCGCACGACGGCTTTAGGGTTTAGGGTTCAGGGTTTAGGGTTCAGGGTTTAGGTTTTAGGGTTCAGGGTTTAGGGTTTAGGAAGTTTAGGGTTTAGGAAGTAGGAAGTTTAGGGTTCAGGGTTGAGGGTTTAGGGTTCAGAGTTCAGGGTTTAGGGTCTAGGGCTACCTCCAACACCTAGGAGATTTCAGCTTTGCGATCCTGCAGTACTAAGCCTGGCGTCGTAACAAGCAGGCGGAAAAAAGGGACTAAACCAAAAACACAAGTTGTACCCCTCAAGAGCCTGAACTTACAGCCAAAAATTCCAAAAACCCGAAAGCCCCTGGCTCTAAGTGGGAGGGAAAAAAACTGGCTCTACAGCCCAGGCGCAAAAGGGTTGATGCCTGGATCCACCTAGTCCTTAAACCCCTCAACCCCATCCCCCCAAATCCTTCAACCCTTAGATTCCAAAGCCCTGAATGTCCATAAACCCTCCACCCTCCCTAAACCCCTATAAACCCTAACGCCTATTCCCCGAAACCCTACACCCTAACTCCTATTCCCCTAAACCCTAAAGCCCTAAACCCTAACTATTCCCTAAACCCTACAGCCCTAAACCCTAAACCCTAAATACCCTAACTCCTATTCCCTGAGCCCTAAAGCCCTACACCCTCAACCCCGCAGCTTCTTGGGAAGCTTTGGCCTGCCCAGGTCTGGCGTCATACTGCAAGCGGAGCATAAGGAGACGGTCAAGGAGTATGAGGCTTGGCTGGAGAAGTTGATGAGTTAAGGTTTAGGATTCTGAAAAAAATTAGAAATTACCTTATTTTGGGGTCCTTTATAATAAGGATCCTACTATTTGGGGGTACTATATTAAAAAGGGGCATGGTTAGGGTTCAGGGTTTCTCCTATTTCTGACATGCCGAGCCCAGCTGCGCAGGGGTGGTTCTAGAGGGATGACATTACAGGAAACCCTCACGCGCAGGTAGCTGACTCCCATTTACATGCGGCCTTTCCTTGCCTCCACGATGTGAGCTTGCTTGCTTGAGTGCTCGTCTGCGTTTCCGATTTGGGTTTCGGAGTTGCACATCTGCTTGGCCAGCCGTTTTTTTCCCGAGCTTACAGTTCACAACATACCGAAACTCTACTGCCTTAGAGGACGCACCGCCGCTACCGATGCAACTGACTTGCAGGGGCGGTTGAAAGGTTGGCCAGGAGGTTCATGGAATTGCCGCTCACTGCCTGCATATATCCTAAATCGCGCGCTGCACAGCAAAGGGAAGTAAGGCACCGGCATGAAGCCTAATCAAACAGCCTACAGACATTTCAGCAGGAACTATAAGAGCTTCCGCACATGAGAGCCACTCATACATGACTCCCTGGTTCTTGGCAAGGAATGGGGGAATGGATCCCTATGATAGCCCCTTAAGGTCCCCTAAAGTCGTCCCCAAAACCCATTCCTCCATTCCCCACTAAGAACCAGTCAGATGAAGAATCCTTCGTTTGACCAACCCAGCAATCCAGAAGCTCAGGAACTCCCAGAATTTCAACCTCAACGCTCTAAACTTGCGGGGACCATGGCCCAAATCCCAAATCTGAACGGTAATTCCGAAAATCATCAATCCCCAGCCATGCGGATATAGTGCCATACATTATCACAGCCTGACTGCGATCATCTCTGAGGGGTTCCGACCTCAACCCTCAACCCATGGCCGTTACAGACGACCCCCCAAAAAAAGTATATAAGCCCTAAAGACCTGAACGCCCCCGCTGCAAGTCATAATAGGTGTTAGTGTTAGTAAGAAGAATCATAAGCACGATGAGCTAATGTCAATATGATGGTAACAATCGCCATCACCCCTCAACCCTGAAACCCTATAAACCTTGTAAGCCCTAAGTAGAGAAAACAACTCTAAACCTTATAAACCCGAAACCAAAACCCTAAACCCCAAACCCTAAACCCTAAACCAAAACCCTCAGCCCCAAGACCTCCCCCTAGCCAACATCTGAGGATATGGACAGCGACTCCTGGACCGCCACAGACACCATCTTGGGGGAGAACCAGCTGGTGGTGAAGACCGTAGGCTCCTTCTTTAGGGGCCCTGAGGGTTTGGGGGCTCGGGGTTTAGGGTGAAGACTGTAGGTTCCTTTTTTGGGGGCCCTGAGGGTTTGGGGCTCAGGGTTTAGGGTTTGGGACTCAGGGTGTAGGGTTTGGGGCTTACTTAGGGGCTTCTATGAGGGTTTCGTTTCGAGTTCAGCATTTTGAATTTTTTTTCGGGCTCAGAAGTTGGCGCTTCGAGGGTTTAGCCGTTTCTGTAAGGGGTTGTGTAAGGACGCAGGGCTTGTCTGGGGCGTTCAGGGGTTCGGGGTTGATGATGTTGCGTAGGCGCTGGTTGGCACCTCAGTCCGTGCTTAAAAAAAGGGGGTTCCGGCTTTAGGGGTGTAGGGTCTCGAGGTTTGGGGTCTTTGGGGGCTTGCCCAGGGTTCAGTTCATGGAGGCCGTAGTTTCATTACCTGTGTTGCATGATGAGACTTCTAAATGTCGGGAGAGACGTGACGACAAGCAGAGGCGTCCAGAACCCGAAAGCTGCAGTACCTGTACAAAGCCGCGCAGGCAAAGCACTTATTGCGTAGATGTTGACCTTCAATAGGTCAAGGCCACCTCGAGGATCATCCCCACGACATCCCACGACGACGACGACGGCGAGGACGACGACGACCATGAGCAGTGCTGCTGCTCCTCCTAATCCCCTCACCTCCGACTGAGCTACTGCTGTTTCTGCCGCACGTGCCATGAGCCGCCTCAGTGCTGTATACGCTAGGAATTTCATCATGAGTGCACCGTGACGAGCTGAGCAGATGCAACCCCCGCGCCGTAATGTAGGGGCCTAAATGGCCAAAGTACTTACCGTAGGATTTGGAGATTATTCTACTACAACTATATAAAAAACAGAACCCGGACGGGGTCCTTGTGTTCAACCCAAACTAGCTGGAGCTTTGCTGCACCTGAGTTCCCCGAAACCACAGTACAGCTTCAATATCGGAGCCGTATATAGGGGCTGAAACTGGGAATCGTAAAGGTGGTGCCAGCACTCACTTCTCAAACTGTGCTTTATATTGAGGCCAAACTCACATTCCTTCCTGGGTAAACCCCAAGTGTAACTATGTGTAACCCAAATCCTGAAGCCTACGCAAAGGACCTCCATCAAAAACGAATCCAGAAAAGCGCCCGAACCAGAAGCGATCGTTATAGCTTATGTAGTCCGAAGCTCTCAACTCCCAAACCTGAGCCCTAAACCCTAAAACCCTAAACCCTAAAACCCTAAAGCCCTAAACCCTAAACCCGAATCCTACCGCGAAAAGCGGAAGCAGGTGACGGCCTGCTTACGCTCCGACTTTCGGCGGCTGGAGGCTTCAAGTGGGAGCACGTGGGCTCCTACCGGCAACTTGGACCTCCAAAACCCTAAGCCCTAAACTTTGGGTTTAGGGCTTATAGGGGTTTAGGGGTTTAGGGTTTAGGGGTTTAGAGCCCTTGGCTGAAGGGATTCAGGGCTTAGTGCATTGCAGTCCCTGCTCAAAAAAAGGGCCCTAAACCAGCTGATTGGCCGAGTCTGGGTTCAAAAAAAGGGCCCTAAACCCTAAGAAGGAGGGGAAAAAAAAACCCTAAACCTTCCAAGGGATTATGGCTTAGGTTGAGGGGTTGGAAGTAGGGGTGACAGGGCATTTTTGGGCTTTCGGGCGTCGGGGTTTATGACTATTGTGGTCTTGGGGGTTCTGTTTCGGGTTTCCCGGGATTGTGTGATCAAGGCTGCAGGGTTTTAACTCAGAGGAGTCTGTAGGATCTCATGTGAGGTTTACGGGGATCTTATAAAGGGACTAGGCTTCTTCCATGGCTTGGAGGTTTGTGTTCTCAATGAGTTTCGAGTTTCGCCTCATTTTTGGTGGTCCTCGACAAGCACGCTCCGACTTACTTCTGAGAGTGGATATTGGGGAGCGTGCACTTCTATGGCCCCTTTCCAAGTCGCACACCCCAAAACCGGCCCTACCCCTCGAGTCGACTCTAGCCCTGAACCCTAAACCCTAAACCCTAAATCCCAAACCGTGAGGAGCAAGTTGATCTGGGATAGGTCCTGACCCTGAAGCCTAAACTGTACCCTACGCTCGGGACCCCGGAGCGATCCCCGGCCGTCTGATTACAAAGGGCTGCCGGAAAAAGCTGCTATACCCATAGGCTCCATTGTAGTCCCTTCTTGTCTGGGGTTACCAGTTACAAAATCCGCGCTGCAACCTATGTGTGTATGTATGTATTTGTATGTATGTATGTATATATATACACTCTATCTATCTATCTATCTATCTACCTACCTATCTATCTATCTATCTATCTATCTATCTATACCTTTACATGATACCTTCACCCACCCTCTGAAAACCATCCCACACTATGTACAGACCCCGGACTCACAATCGTAAGCTTTTCAAAACGCTGCCCCCGCAATGGCACACCGAGGCTGGGCGGGAAAAGCAAGGCCAACCTGCCTCTGAATCTCAGTACTACTCATAGGCTCCATTGTAGTTTATATTTAGGATCCTATAAGGTAATCCCAAAAAGGAACTACTATGGAGCCTATGGGTAGAGCCGCACGAGTAAATAAATTAGGCTGTGTGGGGGGGGGGGGTGGATCATACTATAATTATAGTGTAGTTGTATCTGTAGCTATATCAAGGAACCCTAAGGCGTCGCATTTCCGCTCATTATTTCGGCCACTTTCTTGCACAGCTGCCAAAGAGTCTGAGCTTCTTTTAATGGTGGAGAGTGAGGGTTGTGGGGCCTTGTAGGGTTCCGTTGAGAACGAGTACGTATAGTTTTGCGGTTTAGGGTCTTGGGTTTGGGGTTTAGGGTTTAGGGTTCGGGTTTAGGGCTTAGGGTTTAGGGATGTGCACAGACTGAAATCAGAAGCTGTGTTGCTAAACTGCTAAGCCCCAGATTCCGAGACTGCACGGAGGACGGGCAGTCCCTGTTGAAGGTGGTGGACTCGAGCACCAAGGCCTGCCACTTGTGATCAGCGCGTCCACGGATCCGCCTGACTGCTGGTAGCCACAGAAACCTAAACTCAGAGACCTCTTCGTATACTCCCGAAGTAAGCACGGCAGCCAAGAATATACTCTATACCCTAAACCCAAAACCCTAAACCCTAAACCGTTATACCCGGAATTCTTCCGAAAGGGGCCCTTGCCTCTGAAATGCCGGTGCAGTCGGGGCTGGAGGCGGCTTCTCTGTAGCAGCCACCGTAGGCAGAGCTCCCTTCTTGCAATGGCCTCGTCAGAGGAAGCCGACGTGAAGGAACCTAGGCCTTTCTCTGGAAATTTGTTTAGAATCTGTTTAGGGCTTAGAGGGTTTAGGGTTGTGCTGTTGATGATATAAATCCTGCATTACCTTAAGGACTCTAAACTATGGGAAATATGATATATTCCTTATTATGGGGTAATGCAGGATTTATATCATCAACCGTAGTATCGTATGTTTTTTTAGTAATCATGGTTCAGGTTTAGTATGGCATAGCCATGTCTGACTTGTTTGCTGCCTTTCCTGTGAGCTTTACAGCCCAGGACCCTCGCGGCTGGTCTCTAAAGCATGGCCACAGGAAGCTTGGCCAAGGGGCAGGATCCTTCACGGTTTAGGGTTTAGGGTTTAGGGTTTAGGGTTTTTTTTTGGGTTTAGGGTTTAGGGCTTATAGGTTCCTAAGATGGCAGAGTTTGGGTTCAAAAAGGCTCCTAAGATGTCGACAGTGGAGCCATGGAGAATACAAGCTTCCTGTAATATCCGTGGAATTATAGAACCCTCAAAAGATCCCCTGAAGGAGCCTTAGCCAAGCTCGAAGCCTTACAGCCCTAAACCCCTCTTCCCTACACCCTAAGCCCTAAATGAACGTGCAAGAATCCCTTCTGAGGAAGCGGCTGGTTCTGCAGGCGGAGGTCGCGACCGAGACTTCCGACGAGAAGGCTCCTCACGAAGAGATTTTTCTACCGTAGGGTTTAGGGTTTTAGGGTGTAGTGTGTTGAGTTCAGGATTTAGGATTATTTCGGGGTGTCACGAATGGGCGTGGAAAGCCACAGCTGTCCTGGCGTGGCCTTGCAAGCCATGTGCAAAAAGGGTTTCAGGGTAACTGCGTCGTGCTTTGGGTTTAGGATTTAAAGATTTTAGGAATCAGGGGTTCTGGGTTTAGCGTGGATAAGTCGGGTCATTCGGGTCATTCGTATCGTAACGGGGGTCATGCTTATGTTCAGTTATCCCCGAGCTGTCATGCACTTACGTCACAGATGTACTCAATCATCACCTTTGTTATCGCCCAACTTCCTAAGATCCTAAACTTCAACCCTCTCTCTCTCTCTCTCTCT